CCTCTGGAGGGATTCCAAACTCAGTGCTTCCTGATGATTGAATATTATTTTTCATTCCAGGATATTGATGAATATGGGTGTGTTCGTGCATGTGTGTGTGTTAGTAATCAATGCACATCATAAGCAAAGGTCCCATGCCTGGGGCAAGGCATGTCTGCTACTCCTAGCATCATAAGAATTTTACAGATTAATGAAGGCTTTAAAATTCTTAGCCTTTGGACCAAATCTGACTTACATATAGAAGACAACCAAGCCTACAAAGCAAACTATATTAGAAACACAGAAATTTCACCTGGCCTATTCAACCATTTACAGGAAAACTGCAAGATATAGTTGTTTCATTCCTGTTGCTATGATAAATACACAAAAGCAACTTAGGGGAGGAAGGGTTTATTTTAGTTCAAAATTCCAGGTTGCAGTCCACCATTGCAGGGAGTGATGGAGTCAGGACCTTGAGACAACTAGTCACATTGCATCTGTATTCAACAAGAACGAATTGATGTATGTTAGCGAATGGCTCACTTTCTCCACTCTTACACAAAATCCCTGGTCTAGGCAAAGGTGACACCCATAGTGGGTGAGTCTTCTCACCTCAGTTACGGTACTTAAGATAATCCCCCACAGACAACACTAGAGGCCTGCCTCACAGGTGATTCCAGATTGTGTCAAACTGAGAATTAAATCCAGCCATCACAGTTATCAACCTTTGGCTAAAGAGAACTTCCAGGGGCTGGAGAGATGGCTCAGTGGTTAAGAGGACTGACTGCTCTTGCGGACAACCTGGGTTCGATTCCCAGCACCCACATGGTAGCTATGAACTGTCCTTAGCTCCAGTTCCGGGGGAATCAAAGCCCTCTTCGGACTTCCTCGGCATTGCATGACACGGGTGTACTCACATACATGCAGGCAATACACTCATACACATAAAATTAAAAAAATAAAATATTAAGAGAGAGAACTTCCATAGTCTTTCTTGCTCTCTTTTTTCTTTCCTTTCATTCATGTATGGTGTGTGTTGGTGTGTGTCTGTGTGTGTGTGTGTGTGTGTGTGTGTATGTGTGTGTTTTGGAGGTTGATGCTGGTATCCTCCTCTATTGTTCTCTCCTTTTTCTTTAGAGGCAGAGTCTCTTACTGAACCTAGAGTGCACCCGTTTGACAAGACTAGCTAGCCAGCAAGCTCCACAGATCCTCCGATTTCTGCCTTTCAGCACTGGGATTATAGACACACATAACCACACCAAGCTTTTTACATGTGTGCTGGGGATGTGGCCTTGGGTCTTCATGCATGTACAGCAAGCACTGTGTCTACTGTGTTGTCCTAGAGTCTCTTAAAAGTGTGATCTACAAAGGTGAATTGTGTGGCTATGGAAACACAGCTAGATTGTTTATAGCTATGATTTGTGATCAAGTGTTGAGAATTATTATCTCATACTGAAGACAGATGTTGCCAAATTATGTAAGGCTTCGGCATGTTTTTACTTGCCAGGCTATGTTTAGGATGGCAGTTTGGCAAAATAATACAGGATTAAGGCAGATGACAGGGTGCATACAGATGCAACAGAATGACAATGGAGGCATTTTCCTATTAAGATAAATAAGAGAACGAATAGTCAAGGTGGTGTGTGCCATGAATGGGCTACAGGTAAATGAAGACATTGATCCCCTTGGATGGTTGAGTAATACCTGAATCTGGAAGATTCCCTGGGTGAATTATAACTCCTATGACAAACTTAAATCAGACATTGAACAAATACTGAATTTCATCAATTCTTTTTATCCTCTGAGACAGAATTAATTCTACATGTGGATCAGGCTGCTCTCAAACTAGAAATTCTCTTGCCTCACCCTCTGAGAGCTGGGTTACAGGTGTATGCCACTGCACCCAACTATTTCATCAATTCTTGCAACTTTTTATTCTATATTTAAAATATCAAAATTTTTCTTGCATGCTGCATCAGATAAGTTATTTCAGTGAGAGCTACCCAAGCAACAGTTGTGACTCAGTTGTTTTCCTAGAAGCAAGCATGAACTTGGTCCTTGCTCTTCAATATTTCAATTGAGTTACAGGTATCACAGGTTCTGTGTTTACTATATTTAATTGCCATGGACAGTGTCTTTTAAAAAATTATATTGTGACTTGGCATAACAAAAAGCTGTCAGTTGTGGAAATAGGTATGAAGAGTGGCTTTTAAAATTGTTTTAGTAAGCCGGGCATGGCGGATCGCTGTGAATTCAAGGCCAGCCTGGTCTACACAGTGAGTTCAGGCCAGCTTGGACTACAGGGAGACCCTGTCTCAAAGAGACAAAAAAACATTGTTTTAGTAAAGATAATATGGATTGCTAGAGAAATGAACACAACTCTCATTCTTCTTTCATGTTTTGTCTTTCCTTCTTCCCTTTTTTTTCCTTAGGTAGTGTTTCCACTTTGTAGCCAAGGCTACCCTGGAACTCACTGTGTAGCCCAGGCTGGCTTCAAGTTCACAATCCTCATGGTGATTCTCCTACCATAACTTCTCAAGTGCTGGGATTACAGGCATGTACCAGTGTCATTCTGTGCATGTCTGTGAATGACTGAAAAATACTCTGCAAGTGTTAATTTTGCAGTTATAAATACATTTTAGCAATCAAGAAGAAAAATTCAAAATCCAGAATCAATGAATAATGAGTATGGACAGAAGTTTGTCCCCTAATGAAAAAAAAGTCCAAAGTCATATGGAAAATAATGTAAATTGAGGGAGGATTATAGCATTGGGACCAGTGGTGTCAAATATTGGGCCCCACCTTAGACTTAACAAATCAAAATCTGTATTTCAGATTCCCCAGATGTTTGTATGCATACTCAAGTATGAGGATTACTGCTCTACATACAATGGAGGTATATACATGTCAAATTCTGGAAGTTAAGTTGTACAGAGATTAGAGACCTGATACATTTGTAAGGTTTTCAGGGGTCTAAAATTCTGTGGGAGTGCTAGGACAACCTCTCTAAAAAACACATTACTGCACCTTGCAATATGTACTAATAGGAGACAGAAGGCTCAGTGGGCCTCTTTGGCTTTGGAAACAGTGTATGCCACACTCTGGAAGACAGATGTAGCACATTTGAGTGGAATGCTAGAATATCAACTTGAGAGGGTCCCCGCACAAGCAAATCCCTGCTGGGATAAAAGTTACCTTGATATTTAGCCCCAGGTCTCAGAGATTCAATGCTGTTTAAGTTGTCTATTGACGGTGTTATAGAACTCGGTCCTCTGAGCAAAAGAGCTGCCATCTCATCAGGTCAGTTGTATTTGCTTGCAAGAGTTCATCATAATCAGGCTTAACTACTGACATTCCTCATAGGTGGAGGGGATGGAGATGGTCATTGGATCCTTACATGAGATTCCAGTGGTTCCTCCCATCCATTCGCATGCAATTCTGCCTTGGGATCTCAGGGGGTGCTAGATTATATAGACTGGGAGAGGTTAATTGAAGAGAAGTTCCATCTATATGACTATGGGGAGGTCATCATCCATGCTGGGTGAAGACTTTCTAGTGTGGTTGCTTTGGGATCACTTATACTCCTGTCAGTAACTCCTCCTCCATGCTTTTAAAGCAAACCCCCAAACCTCATTGATTTCCCAGAGTGAACTAAGGTGGAATCATTCTCTGATTTGCTGCTGGGATCTTATGAGGAGGGAGTCGGATGTTGTTTATATTTACATCTCCCCGAGAAAGGAAATTTCACATCAGGCAGATAAGGCAGATGTTGTGTGGAGAATTAGCCAAGATGGAACAGTAGAGGCATACTATAGAATGTCAGGGATCTGGAGCAAGGCCATTCTTGACAAGAAGTTGTCTGAAAATTCCTCCCTGGTATGCCCAAGGGGTCTAGCAGAGACTGAGAACCTAGCAAGCAGCTCAAGGGATTATACAATTACTGCTGCCAATCATGAACCAGGCATTGCCAGATTTGCCAACTCACAAAATTGGGCAGGTATCATAGCAAGCCATCAGGTTAAAGAGTCAAGGAACTGAAAAAGCCAGCAAGGTGTAGGATTAGTAGCAAGGACATGGGTGGGAGACTTATTATTTCCTCCACTCCCTAACTACCCTCTCCCTGAATTCCTTCTCTTCAATACAGAGTAGTATGTGTCAGGTCAAATTTCTAGTGTCATGATTGTTGATTTGTAATATCAAAAGATAACCCCTTAAATAATATCTTTGTATCTTTGTTAGCTGTATCTATGTCTCCATTTCTATGACTATACCTTAATTGTGTCAGTATTTCTCTTTTGGAGTTTTCTCACATTATTGACAAATGGTATTTCTGTGTATCTGATCATGCCTTTCATTCAGTGTGTGTGTGTGTGTGTGTGTGTGTGTGTGTGTGTGTGTTGCTGAGGTGGAATCCAGGGTCTCATGTATGCTAGACAAGGGCTCTACCACTGAGCTCTCTCTCCAGCAGCATCCTTTAAATCGTTTTTGAGAATCTACCATGCATCAGCCAGTGAAGACCTAGGAACAACAGGTAGAAGAAGGAGGAGGAAGAGGGAGAGAGGTGGGGAGGAGGAGGAGAATTCATTATATTGGGCATCCTGTAATTTAGTTTGATGGAAAAGGACATTAAAAGTGCTACTTAAAGGGCTGGAGAGATGGCTCAGTGGTTAAGAACACTGACTACTCTTGCAGAAGACTCAGGTTCGATTCCCAGTGCCCACAAGGTGGCTAAAAACCTTCTGTAATTCCATTTCCCTCTTCTGACCTCCTCAGGCATTGCATGAAACAGGTGCACTTACATGCAGGCGATACACTTATATACATAAAATAAAATAATTTTAAAATGCTGTTTAAAATCCTTCAGTTTGCTGCTGCTGTTTTCAGAATGAATCCTAGAGGTTTTTTTTTTTTTTTGGTCTGGCTTGCTCCTGCCTCTCTCTCTAGGGTCACCTCTAACAAGGCTCCAGCAGGTTCTGCAGCCATAATGCATTTTCTTATCTTCAGAGTACCCTCCTCTCTACCTCTCCACTATTGTCTCTGAAGGGTTCAGTCCAGAAGTCCACTTTGTCTAATCTGAACACTCCCTTCTCCTTTAGCTGTGTTTCTCTAAGTGCAGGTTCATCGTAGGGATTCCACATTTTTTCTCAAGCAGAACTGAATTAATCTATCATCTCTCTATCATCTATCAATCAATCAATCATCTATCATCTATATCTTTGTATTTATGTATCTATCTGTAATCTATCATCCATCTATCTATCTATCTATCATCTATCTATCTATCTACCTATCTATCTATCTATCTATATCTATCATCATCTATCTTATCTATCTATCTATCTATCTATCATCTATCTATCTATCTGTCATCTATCATCATGCATCTATCATCTACCTACCTACCATCTAATCTGTCATCAATCAGTCTTAATTATCTGCCTATCGTCAGTATCTCTTCCACTCTGAAACAGCAAATAAGGCCCACACATCATTTCTGCATCCTCACAAAGGAGCAAGAGGGCCATGATTCCACGGAGTGAACCTCTGGCTTTGCTGCCAGCTCTTGCTTAGGAACTGGTCCTCCACCGCCATAGGAATCCGTGATGCGCCCCCTACAGCCTCTGCTTAACACTTCAAAAGGAGGGCGGCAGCATGCACGCGGTCTCCAGCTAGCCTGAGGCGCATGCGTAGAACTCGGGCTCCGGTCTCGGATAGGGAGAGTCCAAGTGTGAGAGGGAGTTCGCTGCGAATTTCGGTTCTGTTTTCCTAGTGATATAAGAATACGGTTCCTATTTCTCACTTTTCCCCTGTATGTTGGTTTAAAATGTAGCCCTTCGACTGCGTCTCTGCAGCGGGGACAGGGGGTCGCGGAGGGGTGGGTGGATCTCGTGGTTCCCCCCCCCGGGGCGGTGATTGGACGGTCCCGGGTCAGCCCGCGCGGGGGCGGAAGCCGCGGCGGCTGTCAGAGCTGGAGAGCAGCCGGAGGAGCGACCATGGAGGGTCAGCGCTGGCTGCCGCTGGAGGCCAACCCCGAGGTGAGCGGCCGGGGGTGCGGAGGGCCAAGCGAGCCGGGCGACCGCTGCCAGTGCCATGCGCATCTCTAAAAGCCTCTTCTGTTTCCTTTCAGGTCACCAATCAGGTGAGTGCGGCGTGGTATCCCGGACCGCGGAGTCCGTGCTGTCTTCCCGCCCAGCCTCCCCACTGCCTCCTCATCCCCCAGGATCCCCGGGTCTCCTTCCTGGGGCCCCCGCGTGCGGCTGCGGGATGGCGGGCGCGCCCCTCGCAGGCCGGCGGTCACCACCTGGCCGCTGCAGATGCTGCAGATGCCCAGCCCCTAGGCGGGTCCTGGACACCACCCTGCCTGGGCCCCGGGGCTGAGGGCTGAATGGCTCTCTCCTGGTCTTCCTGGCCCTCTTCCTCTTCGTTTTCTTGCTGTTACCGGTTCCTTATTTTCCCTACCCTTGTACCTTCTAGGTGACTAATTTGTCAACACTTCCCGACTTCCAGCTTTGTAAACTTGCCCACCCAGTCCTTGTAATGCCATCCACCGCCTTTGCAGTGAAATCACCCTGCAGTCATCTTCTCTTGCCCCATCTGGTGGCTTCTCTTCCCTACCACGCCCCCTTTCTCCTCCAGTCTCTTAAAAGTGGACCTTTGAGTTGCTTTTTATTCCACACATAGCGCAGCTAAAATACTACCATACTGTTCTTCACCACCTGAAACTCTTTAAAGTTTGTTTTTGGAGATTGAGGCATTGGGTGGGAAGAGAGGGCATCCTCCTGCCGGTGAATTAGAAGAAAAATGCCACGAGTTATTTGCCGAGGTATGTCTTGTGCTGTTTTTTTTTTTTTTTTTTTTTTTTTTTTTTTTTTTTTTTTTTTTCTTTTTTTTTCTTTTTTTTTTTTTTTTTTTTTTTCTTTTTTTTTCTTTTTTTTTTTTTTTTTTTTTTTCTTTTTTTTTCTTTTTTTTTTTTTTTTTTTTTTTCTTTTTTTTTCTTTTTTTTTTTTTTTTTTTTTTTCTTTTTTTTTCTTTTTTTTTTTTTTTTTTTTTTTCTTTTTTTTTCTTTTTTTTTTTTTTTTTTTTTTTCTTTTTTTTTCTTTTTTCATTTTCAATAGTTCTTCTTAAAAAAGATTTATTTTCATTTCATGTGTATGAGTGTTTTGCCTGCAGGTATGTGCACCATGTGTGTGCCGTGCCGTTGGAGTCCAGAAAGAGGGTGTGGGATCCTCTGGAACTGGATTTACAGCAGGTTGTGATCCACCCTGTGGATACTGGGAACAGAACCTTGGTCTTCTGCAAGTGCATTTAACCACTGAGCCATTTCTCCAGCTTCCTAGTTATTTCACCTTTGATGGCCTCTTAGTCTACCATATGATATGTTCTCCCTTTTTTTCAGTCTTCTCATCACTAAAGAATAAAGATTTATCATGTATTTTAAAAATTGGATTTTGAGGACAGATATGGTGACGTGTCTGTAAATCTCAGGTTGAGGTAGGATGATTTTGACTTCCAGGGTAGCTTAGGCTACATAGTGAGATGTCTCAAAATACAACAGAATTAATGCCTTTTGGTTTTTCAAGGCTTGCAGCAAATTCCTTATATAAGATACACAGGCTTTATCTTTTTTTTTTATAACAAAATTTGTTACATTTATTTGTTTTGTGTGTAGATGGGTGGATGGTACACACGTGGAGGTCAGAGGACAACAACTTTCAGGAGTCAGCACTCTTTCCACCATGTAGGTCCTGGGGATTGAATTCAGGTTCTGAGGCCTAGCAACAAGCACGTTTAGTCCCAGAGCCATCTTGCTTATATAGGTTATTGTGTGCTTTTGTTATTTTCTCAGTTCTTGTCTTCTTAGTAACCTAAATTGTATGAAGTTTAAAATCTAGTGCTTATTATTTGTGTTACTATGGTACCTTTTTCCTGTGAATGTCAACTTTCTTGTGTTTTCACCCCTATGAAAAATTTAAGAGAAAACTCTTAAGGCAGAAGAAAACAGTATTTGCAATTTCTGTGCATAGGAAAGAGGCATATTTATTTCAGCTATAATCCGAAATTATTTTTACACCTTACTGATAATCAATTTGCCATATATGTGGACTCTTTTTGTTCAGTTGACCTGTCTATTTTTTTTTACCAGTACCATCCTAATTATTGTAGCTTTATAAGTCTTCAAATAGTATGAATCCAACTTTTTTTTTTCAGATTTTTTCAGGCTGTTCTAATCACTTTGCTTTCTACATGCATTTTAGAATCCTTGTCAGTTTTTGCAAAAAGTCCTGCAATTTTCATGGTGACTACAAGTGGATAGCTGTAGTTTGAGGAAAATACCTTGATTAAATCTTGTAATCTCTGAAGGAGGTATATATCATTTACTTAAGTCTTCGATTTCTTTCATCAGTGTTTTATAGTTTTAGCATGTAACTCTTAGACATTTAGAAATATTTTGTTAGATATATACATACTTGATGATTTTGAGTTTTGTAAAACACCATTTTGAGTGTTTATTGCTATATAGAGAAATCTAGGTTTTGGGGTTTCTTTCTTTTTGATCTTTTTGACTCAGGGTCTCCCTGTAGCACAGCTGGACTGGAACTTGCTTTGTAGACTAGGCTGGCCTTACTCTCACAGAGACCCACCTGCTTATCCCTCATGAGTGCTGGTCTTAAAGGCATGTGCCACCATGCCTGTCTTGAAATCTAGGTGGTTTTTTTTGTTAGTGTTTTTATTTTAAATACATGTGTTTTGCTTGCATATGTGTAAGTGTACCTTGTGGAGGCCAGAAGAGGGCATTGGATCCCCTGGAACCAGAGTTACAGAGTTAACCATCCTATGATTGCTGGGAACCGAACCCAAGTCCTCTGCAAGAGTAGCCAGTGCTCTTACCCAGTGATTCATCTCTCCAACCCCCAGAAATGTAGTTTTAAAAAAATATGTTGACATCTTCCACCTTGCCAAATTCACTTATTAGTTCCCATGCGCCACTCCCTTTTCTTGTAGATGCTTTGTGGGTTTCTGTATAGACTTTTGTGTTCTCTGCAAATAGGCTTATTTATCCTTTTCTGTTTGTGTTGCTTGTGTGTTCTGTACAGAACTGAGGATAGAAAATGAGTCCAAAATAATTAACTGGTTTGTGATTTAGAGAATTAATCTCAGGCAGGTCTCAAATTCACACCATTCTTCTGAGTCCTTTGCTTTTGTAATGCTAAGTTTACAGGCAGTCACCACCACACCTGGCCCGTCTGCACTGTTTCAAATTTTTTCTTTAAGTTAATGGGATCATAAGAGGTACATGATCTTGATTTTACTGTGTTACTATCTAGTACTCACAAGTCTTAGTGACTCTTAGTTTGAGCAAGTAGTGTTTCATTCCATAATGATGCCTGGTGTTACATAAGAATAGTCATGTCTATTGTATACACATTAGTATTAATTGCTAGACATCAGCTAGTAGCCATGTGTCTCAGTATATGTGGTAAGCAGTAATTTCTCTTATTGCTTAGTATTGTGTCAACTACTTTCAAGAATATTTCATCATGCTGTAGATTGGACTGTGCTTGATAGCTTTAGATGTCAACTTAACATACCTGATTAGAGAGAGCCTCAACTGGGGAATTGCCTCCATTGGACTGGCCTGTGGCCATGTCTGTGGGGCATCTTCTTGATTTTTTGAGTGATGTGGGAGGGCCCAGCCCACTGTAGACAGTGCCACCCTTGGCAGGTTGTTTGTATTATATAAGAAAGTAAGCTGAGCAGGGAGGGGTCAGGGGAGCAAGCCAGTAAGCAGCGTTCCTCCATGATCTATGCTCCATCTCCTGCCTCCAGGCTCCTGCCCTGAGTTCCTAACTTGGGCTCCCTGATGAATTGTGAACGGGAAGATGTAAGCCCTTTCTTCCCCAAGTTGGTATTGGTCAGAATGCTTTGTCACAGCAATTGAAGGCAAACTAGAACACTGGACTGAAAATAAAATCAGTAAAGAAAAGAATTTAAGCTCTACTTTATTTACATATATATTCGAATGGGTAAAAGTAGCTGATAGAAAGTTCCAGATAATTAAGCATTAAGAATTACAGCTTTTTAGAAGGGTAGTTTGTGATATGGTTAATCGTATCATCTATGAATGCACCAGATTTTC